GAGGCCCTACTGGGCATGCCCCTGTCCCCTGGATAGCACAAGCTGACCTCATCAGCCCCTAGACTGTCTGGGGCCTCTCCCACTAAGGGCTCTGGGGATATCATGTCTTGACCAAAGCCCCATATACTGGGCTCCCTCCTGCTTCTCCAGGCTTGGTCCTGACCCTGCCTTGTCCCTACCCAGCACTCCCCTCTTCTAACCTGCTTCTCTCCGTCCACCTGGGCTGGAAAGCAACTCAGCTGCTTGTCAAAACTGTGCATAAGTACGAGGCACTTGGTCATACGGGCCGTGAACAGTGAGTGGAGTCTGCAGGCTGTAGGGTGCAGCTGACAGACGGGTGCTTGGCCAGGGCAACCAGCCGCCCCTACACTCTGTGCCTTGGTTTCCTGTCTGTCGAACGCCCTCCTGCCTGGGAAGAAGAGTCTGTGTGGGCAGATAGCCCAAGACCCGCGATGAGGCCAGGTGGGGGCTGGTGTAGGGCTCCCTGACTCAGTTTCCCCATCTGTAGAGAGGAACCAGTTTCCCCACAGGCCAATATTGAAAAGGGTTCTTGCAGAGCTTCATAAACTGTCAAAGGCTGTGCACTTGTGTCCCAGCTACTGGAGGGTGGGGCCCTGGGTGCCAGTCATTGTACACCACAGCCGGCGAGGTAGGTGAGCATCCCCATAGAGTGGAGAGAGGCATGCTGGCCCTGGGAAGGGGTTTAATAACATCCAGTCGTGCTGGCCAGGACCCAGGGGAGGGGAGCGTCACCAGAGGTCACACTGCCTCCTGATGAGAGGTCAGGGTTCAGACCCAGCTCTGTCTGCTGAGCCCCCAGAATGACCGGGTCCCTGTCACCCTGAGCTCCCTAGAGTATGGCTCCCTCAGGGAGAACAGGGCTGTCCCCACCACCTCTCTGTCCCCACCATGGCCCGAGCTGCCCGCGGCCCAGTGGTGGGAAAGTCTGAATCTGTTGCTATTTTCTCTCTGTTATCAGGGCCTTATCTGGCCACTGTGCCACCCAGAGGCCAGGGTCTCTCTCCTGGCAGCACTGAGCTCCCACCTGCCCACTGGCTGCCCAGAGCCAGCAAGACAGGAGGCCAGGCCTTCTGCCAGTCTTTTGCCTGCACTGCTCGCCCCAGCCCCCAGCCCCTCAGCACCCCAGCCCTGTCACCTCCATCCCCACCTCTAGAGGGCCCGGTGGCACTTCCGTGGAGAGCTGAAATAATAACAGTTGTAATAATAACCACAAATCTGTGCTCAGCACCTACTGGCACCATCTTGCCTGAACCCTGACCCCAGCCCATGACAGGAGGTTACTGTCATTCCAGGCTTTCAGTGAGGAAACCAGACTCAGGGAGGCATGACCTGCACAAGGTCACCAACCTCAACATCCTGCTGTTCCTTCTATCTGGAATGCTTTTCCTTGGCCCCATTTGCAGGCAACCTTGTCCCCTTCTAGGTCACTACTCATTTGTTGCCTCCTCCAAGAAGCCTTCCATGACTGGCACCTCCACCTCTTCTTTGTGGCAAAGGCCACACTTGCATTTTTCATGTTTCTTTCTTGGGGGTACATCTTAGTTGCTGCAGGGTCTCCAATGCCTGTGGGGTCTGGCACTTGGCAGACTCAGGAAAGGATTGATGGGTGAATGAAAAAGTGAGTGAAGAACTGAGCTAGTGAATTGATGAGTGAGTGAAGGAAAGAACAAGGATTAAAAATGAGCCATCAGATCCCAGGGTCTGCCTGGTGACCCTCTCCCAGCTCTGAATTTCTCCAGCCAGGCCAGGATATTGGTGAGAGAGGAGCAGGGCCCATAACCCTACAGTGTCCACCTGTCCCCCACACCAGTGAGCCTGCATTTAAAATCCCACTCTAACACAGGAAGGCAGATGCCGGTACCTGTTCCTCCCCTGTAAGTTGGGACTATAGAGGACGTTCCCAGGGAGGCATAAATGGCCCGTGCAATGGGCAGGCATCAGGGAAGATCCAATGCAGGTGGGGGCTCACTGGGCCTTTGCCCTGGTTCTTTCACGTTTCCAATGGCCTGGTCGGGGGATGGTCAAAGTTGCCCCCATTCAACAAGGTGCAGTCTGCGGGGAGGGGGGGTGTCTGGCCAGTGCTTCAAGCCACCTCCATTAGCAGCCACCTGGAAGGTCGACCTGGGGGCTGAAGTCCGGAGGGATTTTATTCCCTCCTCGGCTACCAGCTCTTGCTTTCTTCAAGGCAGTTATTCAGAAGGACCCCCCAGTTGCCTTGCTATCAAAGCCAGGAGTTCGTTAATCATTGCTGCTCCGGGAATTGGAAGGAGTTGGGATCATCCCACTGCACAGAGCCTGTCTCTGTAATTCAGTTTTAAAGCATGAAAAAAGGGAGTTGATGAAATTCCACTATCAGTGCTGAGCCAATATGCAAAATATCTCACCCCCAATCAAATAGCTATTATGTTTTCATTCCATTTCGGCATCAGCTTAATGAGCAGGAGACTGATCTCAGCGGCTGGCGTCTGCTCACCGTGATAACCGAGGGTCTCCGGGCAGCGGGGGCCATGCCCAGGGCTGCCCTGGCTGGCGGTGACCACTGTCATCACCCACATGCACCCCCCAGACAGGTGCTCGGCCTTGGGCATCGGCCTCTGGACCCCACCAGGCAATGGGGTCAGCCTCGTCCTCACTCTAGGTCATTTGCAGGTTAAGGAGAGGCGTGAGGCCGCACCTGCACTGGGAAGGGCCTTGGTCTGAGCTGGTATCTGGAAGGGTGGCTTATTGGAGAAGACTCCTCCCCACCTGCCCCACCACTGATTCCTCGCCCAGGCCCGTGAGCAGGTCAGTTCACCTTGCTGGACCTCAGTTTACTCATCTGCAAAGTGGGAGTGACTCAGGTTTCCATCTTGGGAGGTGTTGGGAAGTGCATTCGCCCATCATGACTTGTCTAATGGCCCTGCCTCCCCTTCCACCTGGTCCTGTCACCCTCCCGCTGTCCTCTCCCACCACTGCTCCCTGTATGGTAGAAGTGTACCCTCCTCCCCCATACACGGTCCGCATCATCGCTATACCCCTGGCTACAGGGGGTTGGAGGGGTACAAAGGACATTTACAAAATGCTGAGCACAGGGTAGTGCTTAATCATAGCCCATTCCCCCCACCACCACCACCACCATTTCCTAGGCCCTGCTGGGAGGTAGGTGGTAGTAGGTAGTGATGATGACAGTGATGATGACAGTTGATGTCTGGGGCATATGTACTGTGTGCCAGCCCTGAGCTAAGTTCAAATACAGGTGTCACCACACTTCATCCTGTAAGGTGGGAGCTGCGTGATTACTGAGCACAGAAAGCTAGAGTTCCTCGTCTGAGGTCACAGCAAGGACACTTCCTGCTGGTTCAGCTGTTAGGGTCTCTGGGCAGAGGGTCCCACAGGGGCCCCGCAGGCTCTGTCCTCGCCCAGGACACCCAGGGAAGCATAGCATCTCAACAATCACCCTTGCCAGCTGAGAAACCTTCCTCCTGCGCCCCAGGTGGAAACAGGTGCCATGGGCTTAAGCAGGGACAATGTGGCATGCTCTCTGTGCGCACAGGCGAGTGTGGGGCGGGATTCGCCGTGCTGCATCCTGGTTGTGGGCTTGTAGCGATTTGCTGGTTGGCAGTTGTCTCCTGCATTATCAGAGCTGTGTTAATTGTGCTGGAACTGAATTAGCAGCATTAGAATAAATTGCCTCTTTCTTCACGCTCATTGTCACGCCTTTGTGCAGAGCGGATGCAGAGCAGATGCCTTTGTTCTCCGGTAAATGGACCCAACAGGAGCTCAGGGCCTCCCGGGGTGGCTGAGGCCCACCTGGGTGAGGCACCAAGAGTAGGGGACATCCCGGGGCCTGACAGGAATGAGGAAGGGAGTGTCAGCCCCACCCCAATGCTCTGGTCCCTGCATTCCCTGAAAGCAGGTAGCTTCTTACCCATTCTCCAGAACAGGCAACTGAGGCCTTGAAATCCCATGGCCCATTCAGCAGGAGGGGCCACAGCTCTGAGGCAACCCCTCCAGCTCTGAATGAGCTACAGAAGGCACCAGGGCTTCTAGAAAAAGGCCAGCAAGTGGGCTGACCTCAGGACTGTGTGCTGACCACGGTGATGGGCAGTGCCCACTCAGGGCCGACTCCATGGGGGAGGGATCAGAGGCTGGCCTCCACTGCATCCAGTGCTTCCTACCAAGGTGCGTGCCGAGGGAGGTTACTGCGGGTCAGGCCTCCCACCTGTCCCAGGGGCACAAGTCCGACCGGTCTGGGGTGTGCCCAGCCCAACACAGCCTGCTTGTGTGGGCGCATTGACAGAGCACAGAGGCTTAGCCTGGGGCTGGTTCTGTGTGGTCTGAGTAATTATAGCTCTGAGGTGTCCTGGGGAGGCTAGAGCTAAGGCCAGAGGGCTACAGCAGGGAAATGACCTGTGTGGACCCTCTGTGTGCCTCCGGGTTAGGATCTACCTCCCCTCAGCCCCCCCACCCCCCACCCCTGTCTCTAGGCTAAGAGGAGGTCGGCCCTACTCTCCTCTTAGCCTCGACTCCCCACTCCTCCTTCCTATATCATATCGAGGCCTGTCCGGATTCCGGGCCTTTGCACAAGCCGCTTCCTTTGCCCTCAGCTGTCAGCCTCCACCAACATCAACCCCTGAGAACTGCTGGTAGCATCTGTCTTTCTCCTTTGACTCCCCCCCTCACAGCACATTTGTAATTTTCTGTTGTTGCGGTTTGGGGCCTGTCTATTGTTTGACTATCTCCCCTGCCGGCCTGGAAGTCCCCGCAGAATCCAGAGGTCCCGGCACTTCTGCTTTCTAGAAGTGTCTGCCCTCAGATGTCCATGGACATGAGGAAAGGCACCTGCCCCCCCAGGAACAAAGTTTCCACGACTGTAGCGGCCATCGCGCACCTGCGGTCAGAGAGAGGCCCTGAAATGCAAAGAGAAAACCAGCTTTGCACCTCCCTGTCCATGTAAATTGCTAGGATTTGAAAGTAAGCCTGGGAACTCGGCCACCACATTCTCTCATAGCCTCGTGGGTCTCCCTGTCCTGCTGCCTTGAGCCAGTTCCTGTGGCCGTGTGAGGCGCTGGCTGGTTGCACAGTGTGACTGGATGGGCAGGCAGCTGAAGCATCAGCGGGCCCCGCCTCCCTCCATCAGCTAACCACCCACCTTCTTTCACCCCCTGGACAACCCTGGCAAAGCTGGAGAGAAAGGGCACCAACAAGGACACCAGTGATTCGGTGAGAAGCCCCTAAAGCTGGACATATTTTAGTCCCTCTCTGTGTTTTTCTGGGGAGAAAGCACTGGATTTCATCGGATTCCCAGAGGGGTCATGACATACAAAAGGTCAGGAACCACCAGCCACTGAGGTGTGAATCCCAAGCAAGTCTCCCTCTACTGCCGCTTGCCTGCCTCTGGGGACGGGAGCTCGGTGGCCCCTGAGAAGTGGCCACTCCATTCTTCCCCGCTCAGGTCCCCTTCTAGTGCTTTCTATTCCTGTCAAAACAAGCCCCATTCTTCTCCATCAGGAACCTCTGACATGTGAATTTGCAGATGCTGCCACAGCTTCTTGCTCTTTTCTTCTTGCTCATTTTCCTCAGCAGCAAGAGGGTCTGGATGCTTCAGGCTCAATGGCCTGGGCCCAAAAGCCCCCGTTCCCTGCCCCCCATTCCATAGCTGGGGCTTGAGTCAGGATCCTCCCCCACACCACACCTGGATAGTGAGTGTCATCTCCCTGGTGACTGGTGGGTGGGGCATGACAGGTGGCTGCAGAGGAAGAGCTTGGGGAGGTACAGTAAGTCCTCAGTGTCATTTAGAGGTTCTGTGACTCTAAGTTACTGGAGGTGTAACGAACCAAATTTGCCCTAGGCTAGGTGATATAGCCACAGTTAGGTTCCTACAGTATCTCATCCATGTTACTTAAGGACCTGCTGTACTTGGGGCAGAGGCAGCCCCACGCCGACACCTGTCCTGGGGCCCAGGCTGAGACAGGGATAGAAGGGGCTTAGGCAATCTGATGAGCTGGAGGAGGAGGGGCACCTGTTCACCACTGTTCTCTCTGCCCACTGTACGGCACCATCTGTCTGACCCCGGAGCAGAGGTTGCCAACCTGGCCTGCACTCAGGGGCACTAGCAGGTCCAGCTTTGACACCCTCCCAGGGCTGGGCTGGGGTCAGGTCACCTGGACTCCCATCTGCCTTCTCACCTGTAATGTGGGCTCCGTGGGGCTCCCTTGTAAGAGCCTCTGGGAAGGGTGGGGATTGGAATTAGGGGGCCCTAGGCCTGTGGCACTCTAGCCTCCAGAGGGTGACTGCAGACACCCATGTGTTCACCTGTGCCCATCAGCTATTTACTCCTGAAATCGGCTTCTCGGAGACCTGTGTGCTGGGTGCTGGGGCCCACCCTCAAGAAGCTCCCAGACCTGGAACCTGGGTGTGGGCTGCTTCCCAGAGGAGGGGTCTGGGTCAGAGGGAACAGCTATGCCAGGCCCAGGAGATGTTTACCCACAGGAGCTGTGGGCGCACAGTGGGGCTCTGCAAATCCCTCAAGAGCATACCTGTGGGACGAGGAAGAGCCACAGCAATCAGGCAGCCTCCAAGAGCTCCCCAAACCACAAGACTCCCCATAGTTGCTACCATGGTTTGGAGCAGAGGGGGGAGTCCGGGACGATCGTCCTGACAAGAGCAGTTCACTGGGCCCGTAGAGGCTGTAGGGCAGGTGAGGTGTAACAGGAAGGCCAGTGACCCCCAGGTGCAGGGGTTGGGCTGATATGGGTAAGGTTCACACATCAGGTCACACTGATGGCTGCCCCTTCATGGCCTCTGACTCCATGGAGTGGCCAGGGCATACCATGAGGGAGCAGAGCCTCACGATTTCCCTTGGGCTGTGTCTGCAGGTTCCCTCGGAGACATGGAGGCTGGAGAGGAGGCTCAGGCCGCAGACATCGGCCTCCCAGAGCCGGAGGCTGCAGCACCTGAGCCCGAGGCTAAGGAGGAGCCCAAACCCCTGAGCCCTTCCAGTCCAGGTGAGTCGGGCAATGGGTATGGCAGGCTGGGGTCTGGCACTCTGAGCCACCCCACACCTTTTCACATTCTGGCCTGTGACTTCATGAGAGCCAGTCCCCCTGGGTTTCCACACCTGTGCAGGAGCATTGAACTTGGTGTATCTGTGGGCTAACTGCCTGCTGGGGCGAGGAGAAGCCAGGGTGGCTCCCAGCCAAGGGCTTGATCCCAGGAGCTGGAGGGAACTGGGGGTGACCTATTTCATAGAAGAGGGAATGAGGCCCAGGGAGGTTACTGCGTTGCCCAGGGTCGCACAGCCTACGCACCTGATCAGGGATCTGACCCCCAAGTCTGGATTCACATTGATTCCCCCTGTCTCCCCACCTGCTCTCCACCCCACCCCAGGCACCGGAGTCTCTTCTTGGGACCTCCTGGTGGCAGTTTCCCCAGTGGAGGGTGGGACACATTTCTAAGCTGAGAACAAGTTTTGGAAGAAGAGGCAGTCCTCCACCCAGGGGTGAATTAACCTGACACCAAGAGGCCGGCTCAGGATAGCTGTACCCCCAGACATCCCCGAGACCCCTAGGAGGAGGAGCCTCACTGAGCAGAGGTGCTGGGGGAGGTCAACACCCGTCCTATTTTCTAGAAGAAACAGACTGGAAGGCTAGTAGTGGGAGGACGAAGGGGCGGGGCTCTGCCTGGGCCATCTGCTCTGAGCCCCAGCTCCCTCTCCTCTGCCTCCCGGATCCTCCACCATGGCCGTGGGGGTGATTTTACTCCCATTCCCATTTCATACCACGAATGCACACCCAGGCTGAGGTACCCCCAGGCCATCTTCTGATGGAGGAAACAGCCACAGACTGCCCATTTGGGAGGGTGGTAAGTAGGTGGGCATGACTGGAGTGAAGAAGAGATGGGGGGTGGGGGGAGGCAACATTGAAATGAGATGTGGAGTAGACAGCAGGAGAGCTCTGCAGGGGAGGAGGGGGTGGCAAGAAGCTGGGAAGGGGCAGGAGGTGGGCAGATATCCCAGACAGACCTTTGTCTCTGGCTGGGAGGTTCCTTCTCACTGCAGACCCTCCCACCCCCAGCATTTCCCAGTCTCAGAGCATCGGGGTCACCACAAACTCAGGAGCCCAGCAAGCCTGGTCCTCTGAGACCTGCTGGCCCCTGTGTCCCTTTCCCCAGTAGCAGGCCCATTGGAGTCACCAGGGCTATGCAGTGAGAGGAGGCGGGGCCAGCGAGACTTGAACCCAGGGCTGGGGCTCCCATCATTCTCAGCTCACTGGGGACTGCGCAGCCATGTGAAGGGATCAGGAGCCTGGCCTCTGGTGCCAGTTCTGGTTCATTATTGTTATCTCTGCCACCATCATCATCATCTCACATTGCCTGATGGAACACCAGCCTTCCCTCCCACTGGTCCCCAGCCCATGCGCCTGTCCTTCCTAAGCCTCAGTTTCTGAATCTGTAACTGGGCGTGAACCCCTTGGGGTGGCCAATGGGACTGAGGGAGTGTGTGAGGGGCCCCTTGTCGCCATCACGATTACTATTAGCTGCCATGCACTAATGGGGAGGCCTCTGCCAAAGGGCAAGTGGCTGGTTACTTATGGACTTTGACCCGGTGGCTTTCCTAGGGTGCTGGGCCCCTTATCTGATCTGGGAGCTGGGGCTGCACGGGGCGGGGTGGGGAAGGAGCTGGAAAAAACAGCCGGGGTTGCACCTGGCACAGGCCGTGGTGATAACTCGGTGATGGGCGAGATAAGGCGGCAGGAGCAATATCTGCCTCTCGGGCGGGCCCAGCCCGGCTCCCTCTCAGTGGCTGGAGCTCAAATGCCAGCCACGTTGATTTATAGCCAAAAATAATAGGACTTTTATACTGTGTGATTGATTTATTTGATGTTAATCATGGCCCTTATCTCGGGTATTAATAACCTGCTGGGCGCGTGACGTCACCAAGGGGGGGCTTTTATGGGAGCTCATCGATTGGGGGCTGAGGTGGTTATCAGGCCAGCAGGGAAGGCAAATATGCCCTTTGGGCTGGAATTGGGTGCAGGGCCTGCTGGAGAGGCCCCCAGCTGCCCGTGGAGGAGACCGGGAAGGCGGAGCCCACATGTGTGCCCCTGGCCTGGGCGTGCCCAGCAGGGCATCCTGCACTCTAATTATTAACAGCAGCTGGAATAGCAATTATTATTGCTACAATTAATGAAGGGAATGAGGGGTTTTAAAGGCCAAGGGGGAAAATTGAGTTGCCTGATCCTCCCCAATTAGAACAAGTCTAGGGGTGGGTAACCTTAGGCACATGCTTACCTGGGCCTTGGTGTCCTTCCTGGCCACCAAGGATGGGTCAAGAGGTCAGGCAACTTGGTGCCCAGAGCTTGGTGGGGCCTGACAGTGTTTTCCTCTCTGCAGAAGCTAATCCCCCGCCCCCACTGCCAACACCGCACCCCACATCCCCTGAAGGCTCCAAGGAGACGGAGGGGCAGGAGCCAGAGACGAGTCTGGAGGAGGAGGCCAGCAGCTCGTGGAGCGGGCCAGGTAACCACACCTGCGGTCGTGTCCAGCAGCATTGGATGGCCCCAGGCCCAGCCTTCTGGGAGCCCTGGAGCTGAGCACTCTGGCGGCTCACGTGGGACAGGCCTGGCCTGCTGGCTGGAGAGGTTGGTGGCAACCCACTGGGCCCAGGCCTGTTCAAAGTCCAGCCTGCCTGTGGGGCCAGTGGTATCGCTGGAGGCCAGCACCGAGCTGTGCCGATGCTCAGAGCTGAATCCCAGGCCTGGTGTGGCAGACCAAAGTGGGTTCCTAGGAGGGGAAAGAGGAGCAGGCGATGGAGGCAGGGAAAGACATCCCAGGAGGCAGAAACAGCCATGGCGGGGGGGGGGGGGGGCGTGCCTTCCACCTGGGCTGGGGAGTTAGAGCTGTACAGGTGCTCAGGCCTATGCAGGGTAGCCTGCCCCCACCCTGCCCCGAGGTGGCTGCTAGCACCCGGGAGATGGGAGATAGCTGCAAACTGCCTGGTCGGAGACCACAGGGAAGGTCTTTGAGGGTGGTTTTGGGCCACCAGTCACACGCCCTCCAATTTGCAGCTGAAATTCTGACCTTGGAGGTCCCACCAAATGTGTTCTTTCTGGCCCCCCACCCCCACCCCACCCCAGTTCCACGCATTCGTGAAGAGAAGGAAGAATGTTGGTTGGTTGTCTCCGTGGTTCTTTGGTTCAGGGACACGGGGTGACTGTGGGAGGACTTGGCAGGGCTGCATCTCCAGGCGCAGGTACCATGGAGGGCTGTCAGTGGGAGCTGGGGAGGAGGAGGCAGGGCGCGGTCCCTGGTGACTGGAAGGATGGGAGACTGTACTCATGCCAGGCACATGCTCGACGCAGCAAGCATTTATTGAACACCTGTTACGTGCCAGAATCTGTGAGTGTGCACACACACAGGCGTAATAATACAAGTGAGGTTCATGACCGACCAGTGGGAAGAAGGTACATGGTGAGGGCCTCACCTTGATGGGGGGTCAGAGAAGTCTTCGCTGGAGCAGAGGGGCACCGAGTGACCAAGGGGATTGTCCAAGGTCACCAGCTGCGAAGTGGCAGCGCTGGGTGTGGACCCACCACCTGGCTCCAGAGTCAGCTACGGGTTTGTGAGCTCCAGCTTGCGTGATCACCCAGGTGGTGCTGTCCACCCTGCAGCATAAGCCCCTAGAGATCAAAACCAGACCCCTGGCCAGGGCCGGGGTACACCCAGGAGCTTCCTACACTATTTGCATCCTTGGGGGCCCTATCAGCTCCCACAGATATGAAATGGGCAGCGATGGGCTGATAAGTGGCCGCTGGCCAACCGCCGCGGTGGCTGCCCCCTATCAGACCCCAAGCAGGCCACACTTATCGCCCGCCCAGGGAAGCCAGAGAGGCCCAGTGGGCTCTTATCTCACAGGGGCCACCCGTGCCAGCAATGGGGCGGCAGGGCTTCATCGGGGCCCAGCTGGGTTGGTGTCCCCGAGGGCACTGCCCAGCACTGACCGCCTGCAGGGTATGGTGCAGCCAGTGCCTGGCCACCTTCATCTGCAAGTCCTGGCACTCTTTGCAAGTTTAAGGCCCTCTCTCTTGTTCTCTGTCCCTCTGAGCCCCTCTGCCTGTCATGTGTGAGCATCTCTCTCTCCCTGTCTCTCTTTCTCTCTCCCTGTTTTTTTTTTTTATCCCTGCCTATTCTCCCAGTCCCAGAGGAACCCAGGCGGCCGGGGCAACATAACAGCCCTCAGCGTGAAGCTGAGATGAGGTGCTCATCGAACCAGGCATGCCTATTCCAAACCCCATGTGTGAGGAAAAATACAGCCCCCATCCTCACCAGCAGTTCATGAAGCAGGCTTGGGGGCACCATCCATTTATCCCCTCAGGGATGGGGGTGGCGGCTTGGGCCACAGTGCACCGTACACTGCCTGGCCTTGGGCCAGTGCCTGGGCCCGAGCCTCAGTTTCCCATCTGGCCTGCATGAGGGTGGGAGCTGGTCACCTCACAGGACCCAGAGTTCAGTGTACATGCTGCAGCCCATTCTGGCTGCCCTCTCTCACCTTTCTGGCTGCCATCTGCTGGTCAGGACCCAGGTGGCAGCGGCCCAAGAGAGAGGCCGGGCCTCAGTGTCCCTCTCTGCAGCTGCACAGTGGGTGCAGCACAGTTGCCCTGCCTCCAGTGGTCAGGGCCCGAGCAGACGGCCAAAAGAACCTCCAGGAGGCACCCACATGGCGCTGGGCAGAAGGGAGGCCTCTCCTCCCAGGAGGCCCTCCACACACACTGCATATACAGTGAGGTCCTGGATGAGCAAGGGCTCTGTAAGCACTGGAGTGCGGGGCCCGGGGCCCGCTGATGACCATCTCTACTCTCGCACCCCGTCGTCTCCAGGCCCCATTACCCTCGCTTCCTTCTACCACTGGCTGAGACCCGGTGACCCCAGAGCGCCAAAGCCAGGCTGGGGAGCTGTTCAGGTGTTTGTTTTCATTTTCTGAAGGTCTGAACTGTCAGCTGCTGGTGGCTTGGTTCCCAGGTGTTACTGCTTCAAGTGGGCCGCTCAAGCGGTCCTGCGAGCAGGAGCACAGGCCCAAGTCAGCCTGCCTGGCCTGGGTCCAAACTGCTGTGAGCACAGTCTTCAGGGAGCATGCACACACACGCAGGTCGCTTGTCCTCTGGGCCTCAGTTTCCTCGTGTGTCCGACAGAGCTGAGGAGAGTGCGGCCCCTTGAGGGAGCTGTGAGGAGAGCGCCATGCCTGGTGCGGTGAGCACCTCGCCTCGGTGTCACGCTGAGGGCTGTCATCTTGCCCCGGCCACCTGGGGTCCTCTGGGACTGGGAGAATAGGCCGTTCTACAGGGAGAAGCCACGGTCTGGCACAACCCGAACTCCACTCCTGAGGCCAGCCAAGCTGTGCACCCGTGGAGCAGGGAGAAGCCCCTTTCCCTCCCCTGTGGGTGGTGTTCCTCCTGGCCCCACAGATGCCATTGCCCACCCCTCACCCAAGACGCCCCCACTGCACCAGAGCCAGATCTGCTGTCGGTCAGAGCCCAGGCCCAGGCTGGGTTTGAGGCCCAGCTCTGCAGTGACATCGCAGTGTGGTCTCTAGGATGTCACCTCCTCCTCTGAGCCCCCAGGGGTGCGTGAGGGCCAGGGCAGAGGTGCGCCGAGTGAATGCTGGAGGAATGCTGGCTGTGCTAGAGATGTTCACCTCACGGGGCTCAAGCAGCACCAGCTTGAACTGTGTGGGGGGAAATGAGCCGTCCTGGGGAGTGTGTGACCCTGAAGGGCCCGACAGGGGAGGGGGCTGAGAGCGTGGGAGGGGAGGGTGCCGGGCGAGGACACAGCCCATGTGAAGGCTCAGAGGTAGGATCAAAGCCCAGCAAGGAGGCCCTAGGGCCTGAGGAGGGCAGGAGGAATGGGGAGTGACCAGGTGGGTAGGGTCAGGCCCCAAAGGAGAGGAGGTTGGGGTGGGAGCTGAGCCTTCATCCCAGCTCAAAGGGAAGGGGGCAGGCAACAGGAAGGGGGAGAGCTCAGGAGTTTTATCTTTGAAATGACCTTGTTTGCTAGAGGGGCTGACTGTTAAAAATTCTGATATGCAAATGGCCATGAGCTATAATCTATAATCCCCAAATCCTGTCCGGAAGGGCAGCTGCCACTGCCTTTGCTCTACTGGCCCAGTGCTCTCTGCTCCTCAGGGGATGGCTCCACCCACCCCATGTCCCACTCCCTCTCTGTGTCCTGTGCTCACACCTCCCACTACCCTCGTTCCCCTCCACCTCTCCACTTAACATCGGGAAAAAGCAGGTCAGACAGACAAGTACCCCCATTAGGACTGAGAGTCCTGAGGGTCCCCTCTGTGTGGGGGTCCTGGGCCTGACACCCACCTCACGGTTCTGTCCAGGCTTCTGACTAATGGCAGTCAGCATGGCCTTGGCCTGCCTGGTAGATCACGAGGAGACTGATGAAGGGAGCGGCTGTAGTGTTTGGGGTCCCCTCCCCTTGGTAGTCCCCTAGGGTCCCTTCCCACCGAGTAGCCCCTCGGCCAGCAGAGGGAGGGTGACTTGCCCCCCTGGGATGGCCAGAGAAAGCTTCACTCCTCTGACCTCCCACCCTCCCTCCCCTCCCACCCTCTGCCCAGCACAGAGGGGACTCCAAAGAGCACAGTCTCTGTCTAGCTCTCCGGCCGCCTGTTTGGAGGCAGTGTGACCAGATGCCCTGGATGCTGAGCGCAGGGCTGATCACCGAGGGTGCTGTACTCACTGGGGAGCAGGAGGGGAACCCAGGAGGCCTCTAGGGCTCCCCACCAGCCCGGGGACATCAAGTGACCATGAGGACAGCCTGGGCTTCACAGGTGCAGGAAGGAAGGCGGTGGCCAGGGGCGGTGGTCAGGGCACCCAGCCTGTGTCCTGCCTGTGTGATCAGGGCCCTAGGAGCAGGGTCCCTTTCCCCCATAAGTTCTCAGGGCCTGGAGTTCTTTCCTGATGACCACTGTTTACCAATAAAGCCAATTGGGCAGGGCCTTGGGAGGGTGGGGACCAGGATACAAGGTGAGAGGACCACTGACGGGCGAGAGGCCTGTGGGCAGTGGGCAGCCTCCTGTGGGAGACTGATCGCTGGACCACAGCCTGGCTTTATCACGAGGGCACAGGCTGGCACTGGGTAGGACGTGGTTGAGCTGGAGCAGGAAGGGACAGGGGCGCAGAGCTGGGGACCACCTGCACCACCTTTCACTCATCGACACTGAGCAGCAACCTGCCCTGAGCCCCAGACTGGGCAGCAACTGAGACACGCGTGGAGCAAACAGTCCCCACAGGGCCATAGTCTGTCACCTCTGACTCCAGGGGTGAGTTGGTTCTGCTCCCCCAAAAGCCAGGGCGTGTGGTGGGGGAGTGGGCTGGGGTTCCCTAGAACTGAGACTGAGATGGGCTTTCCTGGGCCTCAAAACCCCTGTCTGGGGCAGCCCAGTTTCAAGAGAGAGGGGCTTGGAGGGGGGACGAGGACCCACACCGGCCAAGAGAAGGAATGTGGAGTACGGC